GTGCATATGGAGAGATGTATACTTCTTTTTATGTAGATATGTACATAAAAGGTATACAACGATTCTTATACAGATAGAAGCTAAAGCAAGGATATTTATTTCTGTGTATACAAATTTATATTTTTATTGTTGCAGCATAGACGAAATAGAAACAGCCAACTGACAAGCAAATACACATTGCTACATACATATATAGGTATATCCATATGTATATGCATATAAAAGGAACAGAAGTCTCAGAAGCAAAGTAAAATATTGAACTGCCGTGAAAAATAGAGCCGCACATCTTACCAAAGAAGATGAATGAATTCAACAGCAATAAAAATATTTCGAACAAACAAAATATAGCTGGTGTGATAAGACAAGAAGTTAGCGGTAGGCATCGAAAAGGTATGTGCAAACATACATACTCATATACCCACAAGACCTCCGCCACGGCATAACAACTTCAAAGGCGAATTAGATATCATCTAGCTAATGTTTACCCATACAGTACATGCAATGGATGCAAGTATGTATGTATATCACTACACATTTCATCAGCCAAGGTTAAGCAGCGGCGATGTGGAAGGAGGAGCAAACGTAAGAACAAACAAATATTTAAGATTTCTGGGTATCGAGTTAATGAGTGTAGTGTTTAATGTTTGGATTTAGATATTTTAAGATCTAGCATTGCTGTGAAAGAATATCTCACATTTAATTCTTAACAGCACCTTCAAAAATTATACTGAACTACTACAGGATACTTCGTAACAGCGAATTTAATTTTGGTCGGCCGGTCGTAAGCTATGCGGCACCGATCTGGTCACAGGGGACGAACGAGACGCAGATGAAGAGGCTACAGGCTTGCTAGAAAACCGCTCTCACGGCCGCGACATGAAGCCCCCTGATGTCGCCGGAGCATCACTTGAACAATGAAGCATCTATGCCACGAGTTGAGTAAGGAAAAGATGATGTAACCATGGATGTTTCTTACGATCGCCTAGAACATACTTATGAGAACTGTTCCCTTCACTTCATTGGTACCCTAAATATGGCTGCCTGTAGGACTAATTCCAGCATGAAAAAAGTTTACCATGCTACCTGGCTGTCTCAATATCGAAAAACTCAGAATCATGTTAATCACGTTGTGATAGACGGACGACATGTCTATACATGGGTACGATCCCAAGTCCCAACACCGAAACAGATGATTATCTTGTGAAAATGAAGATATGCACTCGCCTCTGTGTATGAAAGAACGGCTGTCAACAACCACAAGGAAGTTTCGACGTCGATAAGCTGCACTCACAAGAGACATACGAACGGTATCCTATTCGACATGCAGACCTGCTTCCTAAGAGCACAGCAACTCGAAATAGGAGCACTGTGGAACGATATCTCAAGCTCGCCGCTATGGAAACGATTGGTTTTCGGTAGTGGCGTGAAACAGAGTTGGAGCGATAAAAAATGTCGAACCACACGGAGACGAAATAGACTGCCTAACTCGAAACTTTGCGACCGACTACAACACATGCGGGATGGAATAGATACCGAGAGCTGAAGAGGGAACCAAGACGCATTTGCAGGAAAAAAAGATAGATCGTAGAGCGATCTATTAATTAATTTGATATTAAACTTAATAAATGTTAAAAATTTTGATTTATTTCTTAAAAACAATATTTGTTATTAGCTCTATTTATATTTTAATTTTTCCAAAACTTTAATTTACATAGTTTTATTTAATAATTGATTCAATTTTTTGTTACAAAAAGAATTTTTTTTTAATTTACTAGTTTTAGGTTATTTTATGCTAAATTTGGCAAGAGTGATTCTACGCTGGATTTAAAGGCTAACTTTGCTGGTTCCTAGAGAAACGAAGTTAGCTACGACTTCAAAGTTATGACTGTCAACAGTGACGTGGGAGCCAAGTCACGAATGCGATGACTGTTTGTTTGATGACAGTAGATATTTCGTCTTGTCCTGGTTCACTACCAGACCCGTTCGCTTCGCTTCTTTATCAAGCCTGGAAAATGCAGAACTAACGGGGCGTTTGATGAAGCGGATAATGGCAATATCATCGACGTACGGCAGTAGTTGTACACTCTTATAGAAGATTGTACCTTCTCTATTCAGCTCTGCAGCTCTTATTATTCTCTCCAGCATCAAATTGAAGAAATCACACAACAAGGAGTTACCCTGTCTGAACCTCGTTTGGTATCGAACGGCTCGGTGAGATCCTTCCCGATCCTGATGGTGCTTTTGGTCAAAGCTTGGCTTAAGGTTTACATAGCCGTATAAGTTTTGCGGGTTACCAAATTCAGACATAGCGGCGTAAAGGCAGCTCCTTTTCGAGCTACTGAAGGCCTTTAAAATCGACGAAGAGGTGGTGGGTGTCGATCTTCTTTTCACGGGTCTTTTTCAGGTTTTGGCGCATGTGAATATCTGGTCAATGGTTGACTTACCAGGTCTGAAGCCATACTGATAAGGTCCAATCAGTTTGTTGACGGTGGACTCTTCCACAAAATACGCGATATAAAGGAGGCTTACCTCACGGTAATTAGCGCAGACTGTTTTTATGGATTGTAAGAGCACACTTCAATTCCAATCGTCGGACATGCTTTCGTCCGACCATATACTGCAAAGTGGCTTATGCATGCACCTTGTCAACTCTTCTCCGCCATGTTTGAATAGTTCTACCTGTAGGCCGTCACCCACAGCCGCTTTGTTCGTTTTTTAGCGGGCAATCGCTATTCGAACTTCGACCTGCTCGGGTAGCAGAACTTCTGTTCCATCGTCGGATTGGGATTTCGGGTTTCCCATCACCGGGTGTATAATTCTCACTGCCGTTCAGCAGGCTCGAGAAGTGTTCCCTCCATAAATTCAGCATACTCTGTGTCTTTTCGATCAGGAGACAGCCAACTAGCTTGATGTATATTCTTGTGCTGGAATCTAGTTCTACAGACAACCATAATTCGGCCCCCGGCGGAGTGGATCAGCATCAACCCATTAGGGGATGTTTCGTTGTGAAGGCTGAATTGTCCAACAGTTGTACGAGTGATACCTTCTTTGCCCACCCTGGCATTAAAGTCGCCAAGCACGATTTTCACGCCGTATCGGAGGCAGCGCTCGTAAGTATGCCCTAGGCGCTCATAAAAGTCATCCTTGGCCAAATTGTCTTCCTCTTCCGTCGTGGCGTGGGCGCAAATCAACGAATTGAAAAATTTCGTTTTGATGCGGATTGTGGCAAGACACTCATCCACCGTGTTGAATGCCAGTACTCGACGACGGAGTCTCTCCCCGACCTCAAATCCAACACCAAATTTGCGCTCCTTTATACGGCCGCTGTAGTAAATGTCATAAGCACTTACTCGCTTTCGTCCTTTTCCCGGACGGCTAGGATGTCAGCCTTTATTCTTACGAGGACATCAACCAGCTGGGCAACGGCACCTTCCCAATTAAAGGGAACCATGCATACCATCCATACCATGCATACCATCAAAGCGTGATCCTATTTCATCCTATGCGATGTAAAATATTTCATTGGTGCTGGTTTCTACGAGGCGAGTCACAAACCCGCCGTACAACCTCCCTAGGCGAGTAAGTTTAACGTTTTTTTACACAATTATATAGCGAGCCACTTGCCCCAAGACCGACGCCAGCTCCCAGCCGCATTTCTGGTGGGGTTGGTTACCACATCTTGCACAAGGGTTGCTCACACCTCCAGGATGCACGACGTGATCGCAAGAGTAGGAATTGTGTATAGCTCCACAACTCTTATAGCATACTGAGAAGCTTCACTACACCCCATTACACCCCGTTTTTACTACACCTAATATAATTTTTCATACATGTTTTTAAATTATCTATGTAAATATTTATTTAAAGTTTTTACAGTGTATTTTTTAAAATTTATTATTGAATTTTATAATTTTAGACTTTATTTTGATTTTTTTTAATGTTATAATAATTTGTTTTTACATTTTCAAATTAAATAATTTTTAAGTAACAAAATTTAAATTGCGTAATTTTAAACATTACTTGTGCTGATTGCATTAAATGTGTATTCTATTTAAATAGTATTGTTATGTTTTTAGCTGATTTTCAATTGATTTTATATGATTTTAAATTTTCATTTTTATGTATAAGTTTTAAAACAAATCAAATCAAAAAGCTCTCTTACAACAAAACAAACTCCATCTGACAACTGAATTACTACAGCTAAATAAAGATTCTATATATACTTAAAACAAATTAGTATCAAAGCGTACAAATAGAAGAGTGTGAAAAATAAATAATTCGTAGATAATACACACACGCGTAAACATCATAAAGCAACTTTATTCTCTCAATATAAATAGTGCATTGACTTACTATTGCTTGGCACGAAGAAAATCAAACAACTACCATACTTTAATTTCTACATTTTCTTTTCAGCTGCTCTTGATTGTATGGAGACTCTTTGTTGATTTAATTTGTAAGGCACAAGAAAACATTTGTGCGACTAAGACTACAATAACAATATGTGCTCAAATACAGCATGCAATGACAACAATAAATAAAAAAATATTAAAATTCAAAATGACATTATACATTATTTAATGCAAGGCAATATAATGTGGTGCGTACAAGTGTTTTCCTTCTTTAAATTGGCTTTGTAAGAAAATTTCTATGTATGCATGGCGGTAACTGTGTGCGTACAAAATATAAACACATATAAAGAGCACATTACTGCAGCTGTTCCAACAAATAGATGCACCGAGATGATAACTGTCCTCGCGTGGAGAACGGGAAAATTTGTTCAGCAGCTATAATTTTTTAGCTAAATGACGTCAATATTTTCTAAATGCGTATATTATACCTAAACACATTTACAATGTAATTTAGTACACAGTGCATACATATGTATACCGACATATAAATTGTTTTTTTTTTTTAATTTTTTATTACATGCGCTTCTTGTTTTTAATTGCAAAGCTTCGTGTGAAAGCAAATATGAAAATTTAAACATTTTTACTCACCTAAAATTCACGGTACTGAATTGTCCTCGCTTACAGAAACGTGTGTATATAAAAAAATTTATCAGTATCAATTAAATTTGTTCAACCATTTAGAGTACATTTTGAAACCTATGGAATTAAAAGATTTAACTATTAAAATTACACTTTGGTTTAAACATTTTTTCGAGTAAACAAAAATAAGTTCAAACATTAAAAAAAAAACTTGTTTAAAAATGTCATAAAATTTTAAACTTATATTTATTTATGTAGGTCCAGAAATTCATATTATGTTATGCGTTGGAACAAGAAATCACATAGAATGCTTCTGAGAGTTTGCAGTAATCATCCGTTTTTTAATAGGATACACAGACCAAAGAAAATCAGAATTAGATTCGCCTAAAATATAAACTATAATTGGCACAATTAAGACCAAGACGTTCAATATTACTGTGACAGGATATTTCAATAAATTAAACTTTTAAGTAAATTAATTTTTTAATCCATAACATTGAATGAAAACTTTTGCTTTAGCGATGCAATAGTTATTAATACCGACGCTTAAGTACAAACTTGCAAAACACAATTCCATATGAATACATAAATATATGCATGGATATACAAGTGTAGCTGTGAGGCCAGTAAAGCATTAACAGTGGGAAGTATTAAAAGGAAACCAGGCAAAGGACAACGACACATGCACACAAAGTATGAATGTAGTTAAAGAAACAAAGTTATTGCCGCTGCAACGGTGGATGTTGTCTGCAAAAATTACAATTTAGCAGGCGGTGGCTTTTTTTCCGTTTCATACATGGAGAGTTGGAACTTATATGTGAACGAGTATGCAACTTAGCTTACTTAAATTAACTAGGAATGAAATATTTCATGAAAAACTCTTGTTTCTTGCTTTTTTCTTCACATGAAATTTAGTTGAACACGTATCTTTTTGTAAATCACAGCATCAAAAAAGGGGCGAGACCACACAAACATTTTTTCTCAATTTCTTTATTATTTATCTTTTCGGTTTTTCACTTTATGCTGCGTTTTCGTCGCTTTCACACTGCATTGGTAGCTACAAACATTTTTGCCCCCAACTTTTTTTCCTTTTTTTCCACACTTCATACTACTTTATACTTTATCTTCATTTTATATGGACGAGTATATAACTTTTTAAATTAAACTTACGCAAAAATGTTGCACTTTTCACTTAAAAAAATTGTTTTATTTATTCCATTTTCTACTAATTCACTAATTTAACAGATTTTCTTTTTTCCGCTATCCACCAACACGAAACGGAAAAATTTTTCACGTACCACACAAACCGCACACAAAAACTGAATAAAAAACAGCGTTGCCAGTTTAGTCTTTGAAGTTTGGACTCCAGACATGACAGCTGCAAGTTTCAGCGTTAACACCTATTTGCTTATAAAAAAATAAATATTGCAAAAAATTGAATCAACAACAAAAACTTTAGTTTATAAAATGTGCTGACTTTTATATTAACTGTACATAATACCGGTAGAAAAATGAAATGAAGTTTTATGCAAGATAACATTAACACTAAAAGATGTTTGGTTTTTGATTATAAACTTTAGCGTAATTGTATGCCTCGGTTTATCAAAACCTGCGAAATCAAGGTCTGGATTAGTAAATAAAAGTCCTAATATTTGTTGCTCAGAATATTTATCATAAAATCACATCCCTCCTATGTTAAAACCCAGTTTACAAACTATACAATTCTCTTTAAACACATAGTTTATTCCGATGTTGCCACTACCGAGATGCAAAATTAACTGAACAAGAACAATTTCTCGCATGTATCTCTAAATGGTTCTTCTTGGATTAACGGACGGTGGTTTTACTCTGGGAGCGTTCGTGGAAATGGTTGGATGATTCAACTAAAGATATTGAAGATTTCTCTAATCAATTTTTCCAGTTTTATTCCTATTTATCGCTACTAAATAAGATATCTGATCACTCTGTTCCACTTTTTTCCCGTCCAAAATCCGTGAAGTGCTGACATTCTAGTCTTGTAACTGTGGTAAGATTTTGATATTTAATTGTGACATTGCTGCCGATAGCAAGTTCATGTTAACACCAGATGATGAGGAGCGTTTTTCTTAATCTTCGTTGATGGTTGTTCTAAATCCTTCGCAGAATCTCCAGTTTCATTTTTCTCATCTTTCGGGGATGTTTCTTCATCCTTCAGATTGGCTCAAGTTAATGCCTTCGGCTCCATAACCTCTACCAGCTCCATACATTCCTTGTAGACAATCCTCGCCTTACCGATTCTTTATTAGGGTAAGAGTTTGGAACTCACAGGGACACGCTTTGTCGATTTTAATTGAAATTACCCTTTTGGTTTCGCCCTTCACGTTTACACCAGAAATACTTTCTTCAAGAAAACTTTTTTGGCATTTGTTTCTTCTTAATTTTTTTCTCTATTTTTCTTCTACTCCGCTTCATTTCTAAAATATAAACACTTGCGTGTGTCAAGGAAAACAGAGCTTTTATTTATATATTTCTTATATATATATTTTTATATTCGATTGAACGTCAACTCTATCCTTTCGAAAGTATAATTTATTTATTAACATTTGCATAAATATATATCTCATCCTCTTCAATGGCATCAGAGTCAATCCCAACGGTATCTTCAATACATTCTAATATTTCTGGAATTAATTCAACTTTAACCGCAAACTTTTATCCGAATTATTAATAATTAGATATATATACGCTTGCATTCAAACATACGTAAATCTTGTAGTGAAAATTTAAATTTCAATATCCAAATTTACGGGGTTTATTTGTTTGAAATATAATAAAACTACAGGGAAAAACAAAATTATAAAGAATGTCAAATCCACAAATACGAATAAACACTTGCCGAACGAGCGCAGTCGCCCACTTCCCAACAAAAGAGTGCTTCGTCGTCAAAAAGTATCTGCGTGTACACTCAGGCTAATGCACTCCACAATTTCCCTCTTGTATAACGAAGTAGTACGTTCAGTGAATAGGAACATTGAATTTTGCAAGGTTGCAGCTAATACGGTAAACATTTGTATTTGAATTTTTTTTACAAAAATGTTAATAAAAATTTTTAGGTAGACCAAAAATAAAATCGTAATAAAAAAGCATCAGAAATATTTTATGCACTGCATCTGCTTGCGGCGGCGGCAGATTAAGTTAAAGGAAAAAATTAGTGGATTTTCCTTTTAGACACACCACAGCGATTACAAAGTGTCAATCATATATATACATATATGAATCTGTAATATGTAAAAGCTGTATATTCTGTAATGCTATTATGTCGTATTTTTCACTTTGTTTCCTTGATACTTTGCTTACTGCCCATTACTTACCATGTTTTCCGATTTGCTGACAACGAGATACATAATAATACTTTTAATACTCTTTATTTATACAGATTAAGAAAATTAGCGAAAAAAAATATGAGTGATTGTATTAGACGAACAGAAAAATTTCAATTGCTAAGCTTGAAAAATACTTTAAGTATCAGCTAAAAATTTCAATCGCAACTTCAAATCATCTCAACGTAAGAAAATACATACATACGTGTAAACAAATAATTATTTAGTTCTAAACAAATTTTAAGTCGCTAAATAGTAATACGTTGATAGGCGTCTAGACCAACAGTGATGAAAAATATATAAATTGGTAGCAAGGGATAGCAATTGATAATAATAGAGATAACAAAAAGCTTGCCAATTGTTTATTTGCTTTATTTACTTAAATCGTTTACTTTTTGTTGTTGTCTACTTGTTTTTATTTTCGCGAAAATGTTGGACGCAATTGCTTCTTGTTATTGGCGTTCATTTAATTTTAATGTTGCATATAAAAAACAAGTACAATGAATCATCATGCATTTATATACGTACATATGTTTGTGACACGTTTTTAACTTGGCAGAGTGAAAAAATTCCTTTTTTATTTTTAATTCCGGAGACTAACTAAATTTCATATCTGCAGGGTTTTTCATATTAATTGAAGTAATTTCTATTAGTTTATGAAATATGATTATATTATAAAAACTATTGTTAATTGTATGCTATTTAATATTTAAGTATTTTCGATGTGTTTTAAGTTAGTGCTTGTTATTGTTGTTGAATGCGGATTTTTTATGCGATCTGCTATGTAAATTATTTTAGCTGTCACTTGAATGGCATTTGGAGGTCTTTATAAGAATCATTTAACTGTACACTAATTCTGCTTGGCATTGGAAAAGCCAGGAGAAAAATGTTACAATAGTTTTAATTGCCAACGAGTGTTTCTTTTTACTTAGCTGGAGAATCAGGGTAGACTGGTTCTTCCCATTTGTGATGCACTTCTGGAGTTAAATTAATGATTTGTACATGCACCGCTTGATGTTTTTCGAATTTGGGCGGAATCGCACATAATCGATACCTAACCTCATCACCTTGTTGTGGCACATATTCTCCATCAACGCTGAAATAAAATTAAATGAAAAAAACAGGTAAAAAAGGAAAATATATAATTAATGACTTACTCAGAGACATGACAGAAAAGATCTTCACCGCCTGCGCTCGGTGTAATGAATCCATGCCCTTTTGAGCGACTGAACGATTTAACAATACCAGTCTCAATTGGGTTTTCTAAAGCTCGAGCAGAGCTGTAAATATACATATAATTTTTAAGCAATCATGCTTATATGATATGTCTTCTTAGTGATAAGAATGCACAGATGTACTTATGTATATATGGACATTTCGAAATTGGGTTCTTAAAAATTGCAATACACTTACGTAGAAGCAGTGCGTGTGCGCTTTGTTATAATTGGACTGGGAAGCTGTAATGTTAAATTCGGACTGTGGGTGCTTTGCTGACGACTGGTGGGCGGTTTGCCAGCTGCATCTTTTTCGGGTGTATTCAATTGAGACATAAGTGCGTGTTCTTCTTTTCTTCCGATAATATGTTAACTTTTTTACACTTTTGGCTACTATTAAGTAGACCTGCAAAGCTTCACTTGTGTTGGAGAGGGCGAGGTAGAACGGAATGTGTCAGCTTCGAACCAAATTAAAGCTTAGAGGTGGCAGGCGACACGGGTAATAAAAGCCTGGGGAAGGCAAAATCTGAAGTAAGTACAGTATAAACGATGGTATTAATACTGGACAAATAACACTATATCCCGATTTAATTCAAGTAATCAAGCATAAACCACTATTTTCAACAATTTTAATAAAGGAATAACTGCAGAAAAAGAATGTATTTCTTAGCTACTTAACTGATTTCTGTGATTTTTGCGCTGAATTTGACAATCGGCTTGCAAAATACTTTGTAAATGATGCCACCCTGGAGCACTAAGGCAATTTAATATTGTTACGATTTTACTAAATCAACCTCGATTATTTTCTAACTCCTTCGGGTACGATCTCTGGATTGTTAAATAAAACTCGCCAACTTAATTTGCAGTTTCTTTCTTTATAAAGAATTAATCTAATGTCCTTTATTTACTGCGTAATTCACAATTCAATTATAAGACACTTTACTCGCTACAATCACTTGCATTAACTTTCACAATTTCCTCTACTTAAATGTAATTCCCAACGCGTTCACTTTACGTCTTCACTGATGTTAACGCCAACCAATTTGNCCCAACGCGTTTACTTTACGGCTTTATTGATGTTAACGCCAACGAGTTTACTTTGTAGTTCACTTTTTGAGTGTCGCCCTTATATAGCAGTCGGCTGCTCGCAGACGAAAGTGTAGAATCATCGAGTTGATCGCTATCGAAGGTTCTTGTTTAGAAAGTACTAGTTATCGGTTTCTCTCTTTCATCTGACATTTGCCTCGCATTTTCGCAACAATATTATTTCATATTTTTCCTTAATTAAAAGAAATATAAAGGTACTTAGAGTAATTTTGTCTTTTTGAAATATCTACGAAATATCCAAGTAATCCATCGAAGACTGCCTATGTTGCTCCAAAACTCTTTTGTAGACATAATTGTTTATTATTCCATCGATAAACGTTAAATGTCCTACGCTAGTTGCTCCGATCGGTCTCCAAACCTTAATGCTGCCATCACCGAGCTAAACGGTTTGAACGGCTGTTCTTGTTTTGCGCCAAATTTTTACGCGGCCAACGCTTTCGAGCACGTTAAACTTCCATTCGCTTTATTGCTATTTCTTTTACTTATTTGCAAAATCAAGACGAAATTGCTCATTTTTCTCAGAGGATTTTTACGTGAAGCTCTCCTTCGATAGCTATCTTCTCATAAAAGTCTTACTATAGTTTTTGTGTGTACATTTTGCCCAATGTTTTAGCGATGCTGTCCGCTAACTTTGGAGAGCTTATTTAAAGATTATTTGTCCCTTTCTTGGTAACGAAAATAATAAAAGGCAAAGATAAATTCCTTGAATACATAGATCTTGGCCTAATTTCAACATATTTGTAGTTTTTTAATGTCAAACAATATGATGCACACTCGAATTAAGTTCATCAAGAATTATTCCTATATCTTGAAAAGATTTTCCTTCATGATAATGTTTAATTACATTTTTAATATCACTCTCTCAGGCCTGTTATGTCGTGGTAAAAAAGTTACCGAGGTATTAAAATTTACCATTCAGTAAATTTTGCTACCATTTCGTATTCTGAGCTCATATATATCTGTTTGATATTGTGCTGTAAATTTGAGAAAAAATAAAAAAAAAACCAAAATGGGTAGGCAAATTTTAGGCCTGGAATTCATTGAAGATGACGTATTTTAATTAGTGTTCGAGACAAAAAATAGCCCTTTAATTTGTAAGATATCGTTTTCATTCAACTTTTTTTTTTGTTGTCCAGGCATATTTTCCATAATTAGATTCAAATATTTATGATTTAACAAAAAAAATTATTAAAACTTTTTAATTTTTTTTTGCACCGTCTTCCATTTCGATGTGAGTATTTTTGGTTTTATTTTATCAACTGTGTTGGGAACTCCTGCCTATAAAATTATTTCATATTCATGTCATTTAAGTTTAGCATAATTTCATTCTCATTTGTTTTATATACATGCTCTCATTTGTAGCATACTCATTTTTGTTCTCATTATTCTCATACTAATGTATCGATGTATGTTCGAAATGCCTATGTACCGCAACTGTTTTTCTTAGTCGCGAATTATACATAGATGCGAGTATGTTGTGTACAAGCGGTAACGGTCAATGCAGTATAGCATTTCCCCTCTAAGTTTATTGTTTGTACACATATATATTTGTCAAATTAACGGAAATATTTTTTGCAGAGAAGTTATGTACTCTTTGAAACCATATACCGCAGTATGTAGATCGCTTATTCCGTTTTTCGTATTTGCGCAGCTGTTGTGAGCGCAGAAGCCTTTAACAAAATTCAGTCGTCGACCAAATGGAATGAGTGAAGGACATACTGCGGTAAGTAACTATTTCTTAGTATATTTCTATTTTCTTAACTTTGTATACTTTTTGTTTAGAAATAAACCAAGTGATTTGTGCAATCTGATTCAAATTTCATTTGCGTTAAATTCGCAAGCGGGTCGACGATTACATTTTTATTTCGCAACGTGCCGGCCAAATTGGATTAACAATTATTCTGCGATATGACTACGCATTCACCACCCGCCCCAATATCCGAGCAACACAAAGTATCGTTTGATATTGACGCTGCACCGGATGCTACTGATTCGCCAACTACTCGCCATCTGGAGAAAATTAATACTCGTGCTTCATCTGACGCCCGCCAGGAAGCAATGTTTCAGGTAATGCAGAAACGCATCGCCTTGCTGGAAAACAGCCTGAAAGTTGCCCGACAGAAGATAAAGGAACACGAGTCGTCAAATGCCACGCATGCCATAGAAGCTTAAAATAATGCCAGAGATCCCAGCGTCCAATCTGCTGGAGAAGTTGCCTTGCCAACGCCACATCATTTTCAGCCACAATTGCCGACGCCCCTGAGCGTCACCACTAATGTAAGTACAGTACAGTTACCGCTGCCACCTCGGACCGCGACAAGCTACATGCCGTATAGCAACAACCGCAACTCATCACCGCTATGTACATCAATTGCAAACGGTTCGTCTGCCGCAACAACAACAAGTAGTATGTATACAAGCTCGTTTGCGCCAACACACGAGCCGTATTTTAATAACCTTTCGTCGACGTTGCCCAATGCCGCCAACACGAGTTCCATACATTTGCAACCTCAAAGCCAACCAAGGAAATTGCAGGACCTACCAGAGTTCAGCGGCAAGGCGGAGGATTGGCCGATATTTTTTACTGCATATACTGAATCAACTGCAGTTTATGGGTACAGCTGTTTGGAAAACAACATACGATTGCAGTAAAGTTTGAAAGGCGAGGCACGAGAAGCAATTAAGTCACTACTAATCCACTCGAACAACGTGGGAAACATAATTGACCAACTGAAGCATCGATTTGGGCGCCCGGATAAACTTATTTATAGCCAGCTTGCCCTGGTACGAGAGATTGCCCCAATATCGGACAGCTCCATAGTGAAATTGATACCATTT